TGTGATGAATACAATTATCAAGCTGCAGGCAATGGCATCGAAATGTTTTAAAGAAGAACTCAAGGTGGAAAAAACGCCAGGACGCCATCGCTACGATGTTGTTTTGCCTTGCGGTGTCAAGCTCAACTTTTTTTTAATATCTACTGGAAACTCCAAAAGCCCACTTTCTCACGTTCTGCACAACTTTGATATGGATATTAGTCAGGTAGCATTTACAGGTACGTTTTTATATCTCACGAGGCAAAAATAGCGGCTACTTCGCCCTCCACATCTCATAAAGTCTTGAAGTCTCTTGAACCACTTGAGAATTACTCGAAGCCTTAGAGAGATTTCTGAAGTCTTGACGTCTACTGTGTCACTCTAAATAACTTAAGTACTTGCCGGAATGGATGTGGGTGTTAATTGTGGCTGTGAATGTGGGTGTGGGTGTGGGTGTGGGTGCTCATTGAATACAGCATTCACACCCACCTCAAAAATCGATGAAAATGGATATTTAGGAGTTTAGAAATCTAACGGGATACTCGAAATCATTCCAGGAATACCTAGAAAGATATTTCAATGATAAAGAAAAGGTTTTTGAGATATTGGAAAGCCTTAAAGTGAATTTGTTTCTAAAATTTCTAGGTGACAGAATCATTTCAACGTTCGCTTTCCTGCAAGCATTGGCAACAAAGTCTTTCATCGTCTATAGTTTACATGCTGAAACATCCAAGAATGTGTGCAATCGGATTGCTAAGTACTGTAAACGAGGATTTACCTTGTTAGAGCCGATCAACTTTGATGGGAGTTTTGACATGTTGATGAAACAACTCGATATTCCATTGTATCGTATTGAGTATCAAGATTTTACTGATGATGATGGTGAAGTTCAATTTATGACCACGGAGTATTGGCGTGGATATGCACGCAACATCGACACTTTCCAACTGCAAGAAGGTTTTATCGCTGCTGCTTGTTCAACAACTTTAGAATATAAACAATAAACAATTTATAATTACTATAAATAGCATTTATTGGAAGATTTCTCTCATTTTCATTGTTTTCTTTTTAAGCTTTTTGTTAATTCTTCCTAAACAATAGATGAGATAATGGCTATGTATCGAAAGAGATACATTGATTGGTAGAATCTGAATATATTTACTTGTTTATGCTGCATGTTAATCCCTGCGTTTGAATAAAATCATTAGAAGCATTGTATTAGTTGAGATGGTTGAAATAAATTTGATTTATGCATAAATGAAAAAAAATTTAAACATTAATGAAAGATATATTCATAAAGAAAAAAATATACTCATTATAGATTTCATTAATTCATACATATTAACTTCTATTTAAAATCTTTGTTGAAAAGAATGTCTCATCCATCAGGTATTAAGAAAAAATTATTTACCGGATGTTTTGATCCTTCTCATTCATTTTGCATTTTAGAAATAACAATGAATAAAACTAACGCTTCACCACCGTCGACACCAATTGTTGAAAATAAAGTAAAATTTTATATTTTTGATACCATGTATATATTAACAAATATTGTAGGTAGCAATCGTTCCTTCAACTCACACAATAAAACGATCTGTTTCAGGTGAAATAGACGCTCCATCAAAGAAAATAATGGTTCATCATCAATTGGAACAAAACGATCAATATTCTACAACAGCATCATTTCCAGCAAAATTTGTTCGAGCAAGTCAAGTAGCTGCCATGAATAATATGAACATCAACGCTATACCAGAGATAAGCGATCAAGAGTTATTGGAAATGGCGTTAATTTTTGAAAAAAAACATCCCCAGTAGGCTTTTATCATTATACGATAAATTTGGCCACGAATAAAAAAAACTCTTTTTTGTGACATACTAATACTTATTGTAGTAGTTTTATTTCGTAGATGACTTTATTTATAAGTTTAAGAGTGCTGTCGTGTTCTAAAAAAAACTTACATATTCACATTGTTACTTATAAACAATTTTAGATTATATCTTTCCCACTTTGAACTTGACTTCGAAATTCTCAAAATTGCACTTTTACATTTTAGCTTATAATTGTAAGTAATTTATCAACGCATATATTTCACAAACTTTTTAATTCAACATTTAGAATGGCACAGTATCCATCGTGTCCTGTGTGTGATCTCAATATTGATTTTCTGGCTGATTTACCGACGGTACAATACTGTTGTGGCCATCTTGAACATAGTGAATGTTTTTTCGATCATCATCCACAGAACTATGTTTGTCTAGTGTGTGCTACTGTTTCAAAATTTCTGTTATTTAAATAGACCTATGTCTAATGTTTTAGTATTTAACATGTAGACTGATCTTCATCTAAAAAAGAATGTTTCTAAATATAACGCTATTTCAATGTGAAATGTATTAGCTTGTGAAGTGAAATATGTTACGTTTTTTATACTTGTACATACATTTGCACTTACATGGTGGTTTATCTATTGAAAGTAATATGAGTTACTGTTTTTAGATTATTCTATCGACTTATCGTTTCTGTTTTTCATCGTATATTTATTACCATTATTAATATTAAATAATATGGATAATTATCGGCCAAAACGTTTATGCCATGGAAAAAATAGTGAAAACTATAAATTCACTGTAGTCGATACTACATATGAAGGTAACTATTTTTCTCATAGCAAAAGTGTATAATTTTATTTTCATTCATAGAAAATATTAGTACAATTCACGATTTGTGTTGTGATGTTTGGCATCAAATATTTAATTATTTTAAGATGATGAACTTATTCAAAACATTTGCATCTATCACCGTCGCAAGTGATCAAGTATTACTGAATGCAAACAATCATTTTCTTTTTCGGGGACTTACGCTTCACGTTGCTACTAGAAATCTTCCAGAACAAATTTATTTCAATCGTATCATCTCACTCACACTTCATGAAACAGCATATCTTACAATTATTGAACATTGTTCGGCACTTCGATCATTGAAACTAGTTGGGACAACCGAATGGATCACATCTATAATCAGAACAATCATTCAAAGAAGCATAAAACTGGAACAGTTTACTGTTAATATCGACAGAGTTGCATCTCTGTCAGAATTACTTAAATCTATTTTGTCTATTTTATCATTGCGTCGAGTAGAAGTTTGGGCCGATGAATTAGCGGAAATTGGGAAACTCTGCACTGTAGCTGTGATACCAAGTAAAGTCGAACAGTTCATCATGAGCACATGTTCGACAGTTGAGTGGAATGACTTATTCCATATGTCACCTTATTTTGTTAATATTCATTTACTGAGTATTGGCTCAATAAATAATAATCAAAAGTCAATGCCTTCATTTATTTGTCATAACCTTCATACACTTATCCTTGAACTACATGAAGTATCATTTAACTGGATCGCTCAACTTGTGGCCACGATACCTTGTCTCATGAAACTTGAACTATATGGTCTTGTCGATGATGAAGGCTTTATTATCAATCAAGGATGGACACATTTGTTTAAATCGATGCCAACCCTTGTTCGGATATTTGTTAGTCTATCTGTGGAGCAAGGTAGAGCATCTTACCAGAGTGAAAAAATTCAAGCAATTTTACGTATTTTTAATTTAAATCTTACATGCAACGATGATGAAAATGATTATTATCTATCTCATGGAAATGTACACCGATGGTGGAATTTAAGAGGAACAATCAGTAGACAACAAAGTTATATTCAATCCGTTGAAACAACTATGAAAGGATACTAACCAAGATATATCAATAGACTCTGATCTAAATGTAGTATATATGTTGTTTTACATTTGTTAAATAGCCTTACTCTTGCATGCTTGCTAAAGTTTAAATTAAATTTTACACACATACCACAATATCTGTTGAAAAATAGATTCAATAACCTATATTATAAATAATTGCTTTCTAGATTATTTCACTCGTTTCATACAGCACATTCTCAATTGACAATTTCTAATCTTCATCATTTCTAAGATCTCATAATAATATTGGTAAGTTCAACTGAAACAATGTATATTGTATTCATATCATAATATGTGTGAAACTGATTCTACACTGTAGAAGAAAGTTATAAGATTTAAAATATTATCATAATTTAATACCAAGCCTACAGACATGCTCACAGATATGTATAAGAAGAATCTTCTAACTAAGCTAGATTTTTTACTATTTACCATACTTAGATACCCGAAGACGATCAGTTAGTTATTTGTAAAGCTTACGAGGAAATGATCGCATATATTATATAGTTGTTTTTGCACTCATAAATTTGAAAGAATAACCATAAATTTTATTTCAAATATATAGGATTAATATGAACAATCGATGCCTATTTTGTGGTAAATGGGCAACAACGGTCTGTTGCTTAAGTTGTCGTGAAATGAGCCGATCTGCAATGTTCGACACTCTTTTAATACAATTTAACAACGCATCTATTGCTGATGATTATTATAATCAAATCAAGATTATTTCTCAGCAAATTGAGACTGTATGCTTGATACTAATATTTTAAGTCACATTTTATTCTAACTATTTAGCTGGAATGGATTTTGCCGCCGATTCGATTTACTCCTGTTACGTACTTTGATCCAACTGTTCATAAAATAGATCAAGATGCAAAATTATATGTTCAAAAAGCGTCTTTGGACGTTCGAAATATGGTTCCGATTGAAGTCACTGGAAATGGCAATTGTCTATATAACTCAGTTATATGTTTGAGTGGGACTGCAGTTCTCACACCTAGCGAGCTGAGAGGTAAATACTTGCAAGACTAATATTTTTATGTTTTGTGCGTTTTTTTTCTAGTGCGGACTTTAATTGAACTCGTCAAAAACGAAGTTTTCTACAGCAATCGTTTTGCGCACATCGTTGGTTCTCTCTATGAAGCTATGAAAAATATTGCCCGCAATTTTTCATTCTCTGAACTTTACGAAATCGTAGGATTGAGTAATGTTCTGAAATGCAATATACGGAGTGTTTATCCTGTAATTGATTATCGGCAAGATTTAAGCATCATGAATAATACTTTTGAACATGCTCACTCCAATCCTTCGTCCAATACAATTTTTATATTTTGGACACATACTCAAAGTGAAATGCACGTACGCAACAGCAATTCTGGCAACTGGACACCGAATCACTTTGTACCATTATTACTCCCATCAGATGATGATGCTTTTCAAATCAACCCCTCGGAACAAGAACCCGTTTATTTGGCTACTGTGAGTGTTAGCTTTTAGCGAAAACTTTTCTTATGGAAAGATCACATGTGCCAATAAATACATCAACCTGCTGCAGCAAAGACATCTTGATTTTGTATAGAGCAATGAACGTTCTTTTGCATAAAGTTGCTTATCCTTCTTTGAATATCGTGTGCCTTTATTCTATCCCTTTTTCTCTTGTTCCTTTTTTCTTCCTCTGGCTTATTCTCTTTCTTTTTTCATCTTTCTAATTGTGCGTGTGTGCTTTTGAAGAATAGCACATAATCCCTTTACGTAGATAGTGTATGTGGATATACTTTCTAAAATTGTACTGTTAATACAAACTATTCTTATTCTTAGGCGGGATCATACACCATTTTATGCTTCAATAATTTTCATTATATCACACTTTTACTTATAGACGCCCACTAAATCAACAGCGAAGAATAATACTGTAACTCAAGTTCGTATTCCACAATTCAGTCCAGAATACGACGAAAGGCAGCCAGTTCACTCAGCCTCAACGACTCCTCGGACCAAACGTAGACAATATACAACAGAAAGCAACACCAATGCCGAAACAGCAAATCTAGACAATCAGCCGATGCTAGTCCGTCAAAGTATGGCAGTCGGGCGAGCAGAAGCTGCACTAGAAAAGGTCCAGCAACAGCGAATACTTGCTCGGGAAAGAAGTGCTGCTAGACGGGCTTCCTTAACATCGGAACAAGTTGAACAACAGCGCACACTTGCTCGGGAAAGAAGTGCAGCTAGAAGAGCTTCCTCAACATCGGAACAAGTTGAACAACAGCGCACACATGCTCGGGAAAGAAGTGCAGCTAGTCGGGCTGCCTTTACACCGGAAGAACTTGATCATCGACGAGCACTTGTTCGTGAGAAAACTGCGACTTGGCGAGCTACGCTTACATCAGAACAAGTCGAACACCAACGCGCACTTGCTGTTGAAAGAAGTGCAGCTAGTCGGGCTGCCTTTACACCGGAAGAACTTGATCATCGACGCACACTTGTTCATGAGAAAACTGCGGCTTGGCGAGCTACGTTTACATCGGAACAAGTTGAACAACAGCGCACACATGCTCGGGAAAGAAGTGCAGCTAGTCGGGCTGCCTTCACACCGGAAGAACTTGATCAGCGACAAGCGCTTGTTCGTGAGAAAACTGCGGCTTGGCGAGCTACGCTTACATCGCAAGAGATCGAACATCAACGTGCACTTGCTGTTGAAAGAAGTATGCATAAACGAGCTGTTGTGTCACCAAAAGAAGCTGAAAACCAGAGAATACTGGCGCGCCAAAGAAGTGCAATTCAGCGAGCTAAGCTTACACAAAACCAAGTGGAGGAACAACGAGTATTGGCTAGGGAAAGAAGCCGTCTTCAGAAAGCAAACAAGAAGAAACAAACAATGACAACAAAAATACTTGAAGAAGCCCAAGTCGAATGGCCGAAACCTGCCGATATGGAATGCAAGATTAGCTGCTTGAAAAAATTCATTCAACAAATGTCTATGAGCTGTTTAGCAGAAGGTACATGTGGTATATGTAATATTCGTTGTTATAAGCGTGATATGCGTCGTGTTCCTCTAAATAAAATCCCAGCGCTTGAATTACTTAAGGTACATGATGATTTTTGCAGCATCATTCCTGATATACAGCAAAAGAAAAACTTGCATTCAGTTGAAAAGCACAATATGGATGATGATCTTCATTTGCCGATAGTTCAAGATGGAAGAGAAGCAGGTTAGTATTTTCCTTACTTAAAATCATAAGACTTATTTACATATTTTTTGTACAGATATGGATATGCAACATTCAATGAATCAATCATCATTCACTTATATAAACGATGTAGTTTTTTATAAACGAGGATTACATTACAGTTTGGATAGAAAGAAATGTTCTTTAATACAATGTGACATTTGTATCGAATGTTGGTCTTCTTTAACAAAAGAAAAAATACCAAAGTTCTCCGTAGCTAACAAGGTATGGATGGGAGATATACCAAAAGAACTACAAGGACTGACCATTCCTGAGCAAAGGCTCATTGCTATTTATCGACACAACAGTTGCATTGTTAAATTGCATTCATCTTTCCACTCAACGGCCACAGCGCAATCAGCTATAAAAGGCAACTGCATAAGTTTTCCTCAAAATGTTGTTAATATTGCTGCTACCTTGCCACTAGAATTAGATGAAATATGTGACTCTCTAAAGATCATTTTTGTGGGATGTCGTATTCCAGAACGAAACCAACTAAAAACTGTTTTGACTGTTCGAAAAAAAAAAGTTTCCGAAGCACTTCGATGGCTCAGACAAAATAATCCACTTTATAGAAATATAATAATTAATCAATCAGTAATCGATAAATTACCTGATGATGACGTGCCAGAATGTTTATGGGCAACAATGCAAGTTTCTACCAATATCGAGGCTGCTGAAAACGAGAGAGCAAGTTATGTTCCTGATCCTTGCGTGAATGCATTTGAATCGAACAGTACAGCAACTGTACCACTGGTACCAAGGTAAAATAAAAAGAAATTGGTTGAAAGCTTTTAATGCCACTGTTTATGTTTTAGTGCTGTTTTAGACGTTAATGGTACTAATATTTCGTCTGATGACGTCGCTGAGCACCTCCTAGAACGTTTAAATATGCAAGTGGTTGATGAAACACTAAACACAGGTCTCGACAAACAAGCTCAAGAAAATATTGTGTACATGATTCCTCGTGGTGACAAACCAGCAAATGAATATTCTAATCCAAATCTTTTATTAGGCGTCTTTCCCACGCTTTTTCCATATGGGTGCGGTGCACTTGAAGATTTTTCTCGACCAGTCAAAATTGATCTTCGAGAACATCTTCGATATCTGCTTTCGTTTGGAGATCGCCGTTTTGAAGAACACTACTCATTTATATTCGTCGTCTTCAATATTTTACAACGTCGTACTGCATGCTTCCATGCTCATCTGATGACAACAAGGCCAGAATTTCAAAAATCTGCGCAGCTTCTAGAATCTTTGACTTCCGCAGATATAGCAACAGCTCTTATGAATATCTCAAAGGGAGTGCATTCACATGTTGTCGACCAAAGAATAAGTACACTTATGAAACATATCAAAGCTGTTGGTGGTCATGTTATGGGGTCAGCTCATTCGCGCTCCACTCTTCGTACCAAAATTCATTCTCTGTGTTTTTATATTGGTTTACCTAGCATTTTTTTAACGATCAATCTAGCTGATATACATAGTCCTGTGGCACTGTATTTTGCAGGTGTAAATCTAGATCTTGATAAAATTTTGCCAGAAGCGCTAGGCACAAGTTATGATCGTGCAAAAATTGTCGCAACACATCCGGTTGCCACTGCAAAATTCTTTAATTGTTTGATAAAAAATATATTGAAATATTTAATCCTTGGAGGAGTACTTGGTCCTACAAAAGCATATTTTGGAACTGTGGAGAACCAAGGCAGAGGATCGCTCCATATACACCTACTTATCTGGCTAAATCATGAATTCACTCCAGCACACTTGAAAGAACAAATTCAAAACGAAGATTTTCGTGAAAAATTATTAAAGTACTTAGAAGATATTGTAAAAGAAGATTTAGATCAATTTCGAGGTAATGCATAGAGCGCTGTTTCAAATCTTCCTTCTGAAGTATTCGCATTTTTATGAAACAGGAAATATCACTGGAAAAGAGTCTTTTTGCATTTCTCTACTCTAAATATGACTTCTCAGGAAAGTGTCAGAAGAGCATATCATGCGTTTACTTCATATGAATGATTTCTACTACTTTCAGTAACTTTATTATATCATTCATAGTTTTCTATTTGTTATTTTTAAAGATGAAGATGAAGATGGAACAAGTGCAGCCAGTGATAATAGACCATCATTTCGTAAACAAGAAACTTTTAGTATATTTTCAGTTTTATTCAAATCTTTATTTTAGAAGAAACTGAAGCGGTAGTCAAAGAAGTTATGCCAGCCTGTTTACCAACACCAAATCCTGCCCATGATGACTTTCAACAGATCTTTCGCAAGGATGTTATACGACTCGTTGAAACATCCAATATTCATAGACATTCTGCAACGTGCTATAAATATTCAAAAGCAAAGTCAGATGACAAGAAAACTTGTCGCATGCGTATGCCACGTGCTCTTGTTGAAAAATCAAACATTGATGTCTCTACCGGTCAGATAACTATGCGTCGATCACATCCGTGGATCAATAACTTCAATGAATGGCTAATAAGTGCTTGCCGATCCAATATGGATATTAAATTCATATGGACTGGTAATGATGCTAAAGCTCTAGTGTATTATATAACTGATTACGTAACAAAATCAAGTCTAGCTTTCTATGATATGTTTGCTCTTGCACAGCAAGGTATCAAATCCATCGAGCAGCATGGATCCACGAACGGGTTTGACAATGCTGTTGAAAAATCTCGTAAACTTGTGCTAAGATGCTACAATATGATTGCGTCACATCAAGAAATATCTGGCGTTCAAGTAGCATCGTATCTAATGAACTATGGTGATCATTATACTACACATACATTTAGAAATCTTTTTCTTATATCAATCGAAAGCTATCTACAAAAAGAACTAGTCAAATCACGTGTAAATAAAAAACATATTGAAGAAGAGGAAACCGATGGTAAGAAATTTTAAAATGACTGCACTGATATTAAGTATGAGACTCTTGTAGTTATGCCGAACCCATTCGATGAGAACCAGGAAGGAGATATAAAAGAAGATGAAGAACAATTTCTTTTGGAGCCAGCACATACGACAAATGGTAATAGGTATGTTATGGTGAACACTCGTCTTGATTATCAGCATCGATCGAAAGATTTAAATGAATTATGCCTGTACGATTTTGTAAGTCATTTTCACAAGAAGATAATCGATAAATCAGACCGTCGTTTACTGAACAATATGAATGGGTGCGAAGGTGAACGACTGTGTACAAAAGGAACAAAGATGAACGAGCGACACACATTTGCAAGTGCACATCCACAATCATCATCACATATTATTATTAAGCATACTACACCAGTTGTACCAGTTCTTCTTGGCCCTCAAATACCACGTCGAGAACGAGAAGAAACAAGCGAACGTTATTCTCGTGCGATATTAACACTATTTGTACCATGGAGATCAGTACAAGATCTTTGTGAATTGCATCAGACATGGTCTCAGGCGCTGGAAGTTCGAAAACTATCAATCTCAGACAATGCAGTCAAAACTATCGAAAATATCCAAATCTTGCATGAATGCAAAAATGACCGAGACGAACATTTACATCAAATTATTGCAGAAGCACAAGATAATACTAAGAATGATTCCATTCTTATTCCAAACTATTATGAAGGCGATGAAAATAATCTGGAAGATGATTCAGAAGAACTTTTGCAAATGCTGTCGTTGGTAAATGAGACCACCACTAAAGCTTATTCTGCATCTCTCGGTAACCATGAACAGCGCTATCTCTACGACGCGTTGGCAGCGATTGATAACACGGACAGATTTACAATACTGAATAGTAGGTTGATTAGTATTTTATGTCAATAATATTCAGTTTCATTTAGATTACAAGAATACATGGAACACAAATAGCTACCGCTTCGAAGACGATTTCAACACATTTACAGTAACGCATTCACATCATGCAGCTATGATGAAAGAATGGAAACATGACATTGAGATTAGAAAAGATCAAGCAAGAAACTTTTTGATTTCAGGCGAGTACACTTTGGAAGTACGAGAAGATAATATGCAAGTGGAAGTAATAACTTCTGAAATACCTACGAGTCCATTCAAAGCACCAACTGTCGTCGTGCCACCTGTGACTTCAACTATAGCAGTTTCATTTCCAACTAAATTAGACATCATTAAGAAATTCACGCTAAACGATGAGCAAAAATTTGCTTTTATGATTATTGCTAGTCATCTTGATGGTGATAACCAAGTTCACCCTGGTATGTTTTTGTAATTTTCCATTCAAAGAATATGCTTAACTATAATGATTTAGGCATTATCGATAACCAATTGTTGATGTGCGTACCTGGCTGTGGTGGTACTGGAAAATCTCAATTGATTCGTACAATCACTGATTACTTCCAAGTAACAAACAGGAGCAAAATGCTACGTAAACTGGCACCAACATCTATAGCAGCAGCAGAGATTGATGGGCTGACAATACATTCATTCTTAGGTGAAAGTCGTAAATATTCAAAAAAGAGACAAACAAGAACATTTAGACCTGGTGATGCAAAGCTGGAAAACGAATGGCGCCATGTGAAGTACTTAATAATCGATGAGATGAGTATGGTTGGACTTAGTTTGTTAGGTCGACTTAACCGAATAGTGAAAACAGCAAAGCATATTAATACAGATGTTCCTTTTGGCGGTGTAAATGTCATTTTTTTGGTGACTATCTACAATATTCTCCAGTGTTGGATAAGCCTCTTTACCATAACTGTACATTGTTACAACAAAATACAGAACGTCAAATAGAAATGCAATGTGCACAGAAGGTTATATCGCAAATTAATTGTGCTGTTAAATTGAACAAG